AGCATGTTTTGAAAATTGAGGTTTATTTTGTTTCTTTAGAGTGGTGAAATTTTCATGTGTGTTGTTAACCATGTGTTATTAAGGGATAGTCTGATGTATTTATTGCTTCATCAAATACTTATTAAGCATCCAGTGTGTTTGGCTGTGGGCTAACTACTTGAGCTTGGGGAGGAGAACATAATTAGTAAATCAGGTAGTCCTATTCCTACCTTTATAAAGCTTATGGTCTAGTGAGTGAGATGACAGTAATAAAACCCCAGACCAAAATATGTGTAATTATAAACTGTAGTAAACTCTATGAAAGGGTAGGACAAGTGTTTATAAAAGCGAGACCTGATTTCACTGATGGGGCAGGTGGGGAAGCTTCACAGAGGTGAGGGGAGTTGGGTGGTAATGGGATGGGGTTAGATTCCAGGTAGAGCGTATCTTCTCCTGACTATTGGACTAGCCCCTTTTGCCATAGACAACATAAAACTGGAAAAAACTAGATGTACCTGTTTTCAGGCATTGGACAACAGGCAATACAAGACTATAAACCTTTGAGAGAAAAGAGAAGCATACGATGAGTCCTACATGTGCCTTGAATCTCTCTCGGGATAACTTCCTGCTTGTAGTACAGCAAGCTGGCATGAAGCAGAGTATGGTGGTCCACTGAGCTAAGGAGGCAGCGATCACAGCTTAGGGCAGCTGAAGCAGTTGGAAACTGGAATCTTTAAGGAAGAAGACCAAGAGGTAGTACGGCAGATGTATGGGGGACCCCTGAAAATGCTTGGCAGAGGACTCAGATACACGTAATACAGGATGAGACTACCTAAGGCTTACTAGACAGTGACTTCTATGGGGCTAAAAGCAGAACAGAGATATTAGAGATTAAGCAGTATTGGGAGACATTGGAGTTTCATTCAATTAGACCAGAGAGACCTTGTTAATACCCTAGACATCTAGCTGAGACAGAAGGCCAAACCTTAGAGTAAGGTCTAATCAGGTCAGTCTTATTGAAGCTTAAAACTTGACAGTATCTGCAAAGGAGGTAGAGGTTGGAGATTATTCCTGTCAGTTTAGAGGGCTTTCTACAAATCTTCCCTTTACAAAGTATAAAATCAAACCTTCATGCATTCTAGGTAATCAGGCTGTTAATTGAACTGTCTTCTAGAATGACAATTAATACTCTTCAAAAGAAGATAACAGAATCCAGAATCTTTATAATGTGTCATTAGAATGTCTAATATACAGTAAAAACCATTGGACATGCAAGAACATAAGAAACTGTGCATTATAATCAAGAAAAAGAACATTCAGTAAAAATTGACCTTGAAATAGCCTAGATGTTGTATTTAGTAGATAAAGACATCAAAGCAATTATTATAAATATGTTTAAAAAACTAAAGAAAGGGCCGGCCGAGTGGCGCCTTGGTTAAGATTTGGCTTGGGACGCCACCTCTGAGCAGCAGGGCCCCGGTTTGGATCCCACATAAGTGCCAGTGACACTGTGCCCTTTACAACTAAGATGGTGAACAACAGCTTGACTTGGAGCTGGGCTGCTGTGAGCTACCGTGAGTGGCTGGCAGCCGACCTGAGCTGCTGTGAGTGGCCATCCAGTGGCCGGAGAGCAACTGCCTCACCCGGGAAGAGCTCAGTAATACCATCATGGGCCAGTGAAGTGACGTCCTCCACAACTAGACTGAAGAACGAAAGGACAGCAACTAGTCTGTTCCCCTTCCCAACTTCCCCAATGCTGTTCCCTTCCTCCAATCTCCCAACCAAATCTTAAAAAAAAAGAAACTAAAGGAAAATCTGTTCAAATACTTAAAGGAAAATATGGGTTAATGTTAATGATTGAAGAAATAAGAAATCTTAGCAAAGAAATATAAATAATAGAAATCTAAAGAGAAATTCTGGAATTGAAAATTAGAGTGCAATAATTGAATTGAAAAATTCACTGGATGGGCTTAGCAGCAGATTGAGAGGGTAGAAAGACTCAGTGAATTGGAAGACAGATCAATAGATTAGTCAATTGAGAGAACAGAGAGAAAACACAGTGGATCCTTAGGGACATATTAGACAGAATCAGATGATCTAGCATGAAGGTAATTGGAACCCCAGGAGGACAGGAGAGTGGAAATTTTGGCAGAAAAAAAAATTGGTGAAATTATGACTGAAATTCTCCAAATTGGATGAAAAACCTTAACTTAATAGATCCAAGATGCTTAACGAATCCCAAACAGAATAAATACAAAAATATCACACCAAGCACCTCCCTGAAACCATGTAGAGGGACCAGCATGTGGGAATATTAATGAGTGAGGGTGAGCTTACTCTTTATAAAGGGACTAAAAAAGGCTAGTGTGGTTGAAGTGAAGTGAAATGAATGTAGAGGGGATTGTGGCATAAATAAGGCTACTACATTAGGCTAGATCCAGATTAGGTAGGCCCTCATGGGCCATGTAAGATTTTATACTTCATTTTTCTCAGGCTTGTTGTGAGGGGTTGATGAAATATATTTTGTTAACTAAAAAATATTATAAAAATTTCATCTATCTTATTGAGATAAATACATGGCTTTCATTATTCAGGGGACATGTAGTTATTTCTTATATAGGGCCCTACAAGTTCTTTATTCTTTGTAAACTAATTGTGCTTGTTTTTAATATTGGACTGGAATTGAAGGATGGATGTCTTCCTATCTATTTAGTCAGTGTTGGAGTTTTTTCTTTTTTCTTTTTTTTTTTAACGTAACTGTTCTATTGCAATTATTGAGGCTAGCAAAAAGAGGAAATAAAGGCTCAGCAAATCCTAAAAAACTCATTTATATGGTTTTATAATCAGAGAGATTGAGACCATAATTTAAGATATACACTCTGCCTAAGAGGTGGCAAATACCATGTTAATTTTTAGGCTTTCAGACAGAGAATAATTTTTTAAAGAACTCTTAAATATCAGTGTTTTTCTTTTACTATTATTCCATCCTCCATAATATATTAAAAAAACAAAAAAAATTAGCAATAAGTAATAAGCTGAAATGCAAAAGTGAAAGTTCTAGGATTATTTAATTCTAGAACCTAACATTTTCAATATTTTTGGAATAAATTAGTATTAACTGATACTTCCATATAAATCAAACTTTTAATTCCTTAAATATGATAGTCAAAAACCTGGTACAACAGGAATTAACAGTAATTTTAGTTGTAATATTTGAAAATTTCACTCAGGCATTATCTTCTCCAGGAAGCCTTTCTTAAGTATTCTATTTTGGGTAAGTCTGGCTGCACAGTATTATGAGAGCACAGGTTGTCAAAGCAAATGGCAAAGTCAGCTACATAATTGTCTTTTACCATCTTACCTGCTTTTAGCTACCACTAATTTTCAACTTCTTGAAGGCAGGAATCATGCCTTCTTATTAAACTTTGCACCTTTTGTGCCTTGCATATAATCTCTAGCATATTTTAGATGCCCAATTACTTAGTAGATTTCATTATCTGTTATAAACATGCTGTATAGTCTGGGATTGTTAATGCCAAACATGAGCACAAATACGTTGTCTGAAGCTATTCTGTATGATTCATCTAGGGTTCCCCCTTCATACATATTTTATATGTATGTATTAGTGACTGAGTTGGCTATGCTTATATTTTGAATGGAATATTTTTTCTTATTTTAAATTTGTTTTAAATATTAGGTCTTGGAGAAAATGCTTGTGCGAAGAAAAGTCACGAAAAGTACCTTATTGCTTTGAAGAGCTCTGGACTTACATATCCTGAGGATAAACTTGTATATGGTATACAGGAGCCATCTGCTGGCACTAGCACTCTGGCACCTCAAGGTTTGTCTAAATATTTAATTTGGATGGTGGTAACTTTCTGTATTAAAATGAAACGCCTCCAACTTTACTGATTATTGAAGAAATTTAAATAATGTGTCATTCTTTGTAAGGAAAATACTAAAAGTTACAAAAATTTAGAAGCAAGAAAGAATAGATTGGCCAAAGAAGAGAAGGCATTTTTCTTAATTTATTAAGTACTTGGTTAATTTATTAAGGTTCTGGCTCTAACTAGTGAAAAATGTAGCAGTTATTATATTTAAAACTAAAAAGAAAGAGATACTTTTGAAACACCACTTGCAATGATTAAATTTGGGTTTTCACTGGAGATTTTCTATCGATGTATAAAGTATTAGGTCCAGATTTATTAAAGATAAATGTTGAACTCTGCCAAGATAAGTTAGAATGAGGTGTCTAACTTATCTTAGCAAAACTTAGTTTTTGATACTGTTATGTTGTAAAATAATTTCAAAGTAAAGCATTATTTAACAATTATGAAGGACAACTTTTTTTTTCCTTTTCAAAGGTTTTGCTGGTGCAACAGGGACATTGGGACAGCTAGATTCTTCAGATGAGGTGAGATTTAAAATTTAAAACTTTTTAAAAATAGAATTTTATAAGTTTTAAAACTATACAGATTTGTGAATATTATCTAGTTTAATAAATTCCTGCTTTTGTAGACAAGAACATTGAAGCTCAGAATAGAATAACTTAGTCAAGATCATACAACTACTTAGTGACAGAACAAGGACTACTACAACTAGTTTTTTACTTGTTTTAATTCGTTTCTCTTTTAACAGTTTAGAAATGGGAGATAGAAAGAGACAGATTTCTCCTAGGAAGCTATCCCCAAATGTATCTAAACTGTTGTCATATATACAATGAAATGGTTTTTAAAAATTTAGCTAAGTCTAGAATAATTATTAAAAGAATATGAAATGTAACTGCTTTTCTAATCTCATAATAAAGTTATACCTAACATGTCAAAGATTATTATTATTACTGGGTTAAATATATTTTATTAAAATTGATTTCACTTGTGTGTTTTCACTTTTTTTTTTAAAGATTTTTATTGGGGAATTGGGGGAGGAGAACAGTGTTGGGGAATTGGGGAAGGGGACCAGCCAAGTTGTCGTTCTTCAGTCTTCATTGTGGAGGGTATCAGTCGCCATCTGGCTTCCCGTCAGCAGCTCGTGGCCTCTTAAGCTCAAGGTGCTGTGTTCAATCTTAGTTGCGGGTGGGCGTAGCCTACCATTGAACAGGCCATCTTGTTGTTACACCGGCTGAGCCATCCCATCACCTGCCGGCAGCCCAGCGACAGCTCAGCTCAGGGTGCTGCGTCACTGGCCCATGTGGGAATCGAACCGGTAGCCCTGTTGTTCAGAGCCTGCGCTCCCAAGCCAACTCTTAACCAAGTGAGCCACTTGGCTGGCCCTCACTTTTTTTTTTAATTAGTTTCAGGTGTACAACACAGTGCGATAGTTATACTTTATACCCCTCAAAGTGACAATCCCCCTCCCCCAATCCACCGTTCCACTTCTTCTCCCACATATCGTACATATCTATCACAATTCCATTGACTCCACTTCCACACTATACTCCACATCTCATGACTATATATATGTATTCAATTATAGTTGACAATATTATACAACATCAGCTTCAGGTGTACAGTGCAGTGATCAAGCCTCTACCCCATCCATGAAGTGGTCTCACTAACAAGACATGTGACCATCTGACATGCTACAAAATATTTACAACATTATTAATTATATTCCCTGAACTGTCTTTCATATCTCTGTGGCAATATTGTAGTTACCTATTTACTGCTGTCTAACCTCCTCCCCTTCTCCCTCAAAGATTATTAAAAGAAGCTGTGTACTGGGAGATAGTCAATTTGAAATGTCAATTTTTATAGTGTTTATTAATATATTAAATATTTCTAGTGAGTCCTTTTTAACATTACTGTATTTTCTTAGTATATAATTTATAAGAGAAAATTGTTTTTTTACATATATTTGTTTATACTCTTAATTCTTATAAAATTTAAATTTCATATTTTATCACATTATACATTTAATGATTGATTTAAATATTTTTGAAACAAAATTGTATTACATACAAACATAGATATCTTTTTTCTTTAAAAATCTATTTTGATTTGATAATATCAAATTAAGCCAAATAACCTTCTTTTGAAAGCATGATTTCTGTCATTGAAGTCTTATAATTGATTTAATGCCTTATAATTTAAACTTTATAGTAGTATTTTTCTCCTCTGAAAAGGCTCCCACAAAATCCAACATTTTGTGGAATCTCCTTTTGAATAAACAACTGTAAAGACTATTTAACAAATTGGAGAGGCAGGTGTTAGTATGCTGCTTATGAGCCTGACTCTGGGATTATAATGCCTGAGTTTGAATCTGGCTCCTGTATCAACTAGTGGTGTGACTGTGGGCAAGTGTCTTAACTTCTCCATGCCTAAATTTTCTTACCTGTAAAATGAAGGTAATAATAGTACTTATTTCTTGGTCTTATTAGGAGCACAATGAGTTAATATATGTACGAGACATAAGCACTCACAGCAGTAGTGCCTAGCATATTGTAAATACTATATGTGTGTTTGTTAAATAAATAAGATAAAATCTTATTTAAAAAAATTGATGTAAATGGTTAGCTAAAATTTTTGCTTTATTTTAAATTTTAAAGAGTTACTTCTAAGAATAATAATGTTGCTATAAAGGGAAATTGAGAAAACTGGCTGATATTTAAGATAGACTTTCAAAAATATATAAACACTTCAACTAAAACAGTAATAATTCCATTTCGAAGCAAGGGGGAAGGGAGTGATGGGGTAAGAGTGCTAATTCTTCATATGTCAAAAAAGGAAGTGAGTTCATATAGACATGTGGTTTTTTTGTTTTTGTTTTTGTTTTAAATTTTATGGGGGAACAGCCGTGGCTATTGGTTACACATTGCTCTCATGCACCATGGCACAGTTGACTCTTAAGGAGGGCACAGCTCACAGTGTCCCATGCAGGGATCGAACCCGCAACCTTGGTATTATTAGTATGGAGCTCAAACCAACTGAGCTAACCGGTCACCCCTAGACATGTAGTTTCAAACTGCTGATTCTGCTTTCTTTAAGGGCATGTTGAGGTGGAATGCCCTCTCAAAAGGCAAGATCTGGGAATACTTAGGAGTTGAATATGAGCACACTTCTTTGACTAAAGCAAGGCAGATAGGAAAGGAGCCTTGTAGCTATTCCCAGTAGTAACTTCAGAAAACTATTACACAGTGAAATGGTTTAGTGATGTTACAGAACACTTTTTAAAAATAATCTAAATATCTTGATGTGATCTAGAAAAATCTGTAGTTTTATGTTAATATTTATATGGTTAATTAAAACCTTCATATTATTTTAGTATACTAAGCATTATGCATTCATCAGGCTTGCTAACAATTCTACTTTATTTTCATGAGTTGGATTTGTTTTCTGGGCACGTGGAAAGCTGATCTTTAACATAGACACTTTTTCCTGTGCCTAGGAAAGAAGTAGCATTCTTTATTGTCTTAGCCTAACCTCTCTAGATTAGCTTTTAAATTGCTGGTGGAGACTTGCACTATACACGACTGCATTGCAACACGACCGTGTTTTATGGTAGGGTGCCAGAGGAGATCCTTCTGTGTGCATGGGTCGAGGGGCTCTTGAATCTTTTCTGGAAGTAATTTCTAGGGGGATATCAGAGGATTTGAAATAAGGTCTTTCTTTGTTTATTATTTTACTGCTAATCTGTCCTTTTTAGATTCTTTCTTCTCTTCATTCCTCTTAGATTCTTTGTTTCAGCAACTCTGTGTGTAATGTCTTTTATATAATCATTTGTTTCTTAATTATGACTCGGTAAATATCATAGTAAATTTTTTTTTAAAGATTTTATTGGAGAATTGGGGGAGGGGAACAGTGTTGGGGAATCGGGGAAGGGGAGCAGACAAGTTGCTGTCCTTTTGTTCTTCAGTCTAGTTGTGGAGGACGTCGCTTCACTGGCCCATGTTGGTATTATCATTGCGCTCTTCCCGGGTGAGGCAGATCGGTCGCTGGCCTCTGGACTGCCGTTCACGGCGGCTCTTGGCAGTTCACACCGGCTGCTGGCCACTCACACTGGCTGCCGGCCACACATGGTAGCTTATGGCAGCCCACTGCAGCAGGGGCTGCAGCCTACACCATTGCCAGCGACTCACGGCATCCCAGCTTCAGGTTGAGCTGTTGTTCACCACCTTAGCTGTAGCGGGCAGTGTCACTGGCCCTCATGTGGGATCCGAACCGGAGCCCTGCTGCACAGAGCTGGTGTCCCAAGCCAGCTCTTAACCAATGTGCCACTTGGCCGGCCCAGTAAATATTTTTTTGATGGTGAAATTTCAAAATATTTCATTTCAACAACTATACTCATACACTGTTTTTATGATAGTAGCTGAGAATTACTTTGAGAGCGTGTGTTGTATATGTAACATATATTTAAAAGTAGTTTAAACTTTGATCTTTAAATCTTATTTTATAATAAACTTTTAGTCTATTTCAAAGTGCTCTTTATAGTTTATGTATTTATTGTATTTTATAATTGGGATAAAAATAGGGTCATTTAGGCATTTGAAAACTTAAGAAATTGGAGTTGTTCAGTTGGAAGTGGATTGAGGGATATCTAGTTTTTAAGAGAAACTTGAGCTTTAGAGTTAGGCAGACCTGAGTTTGAATCTTGTCTCATAATATCATTATGCTTTTTGCCAGGTTAGCATTTAACTTCTGAACATCAATTTCCTCATGAAAAAATGCTGATAATTGTAATATTAGGACTAAATGGGATAACATACATAAAGTGCCTATCATGGATCAGACACAAATTAGGCTCTTGATAAATGTTATCTGTCCTAGTGCTTTATGTATAGAAGGGATTCAAATATTTGAGTGCTCATGAGTCATATTATAGATATTGTGTTGTCAGAAAAGTCATGACGTATTTTTTCTGTTTTTCATTGCAAAAATGCGTCATGACTTTTCCGACGACCCAATATTTCTGCTTATCTTTCTAGAGGAAATAGTTTACCAAAGCATGGAATAAAAGTAATGAAGTTTATCTTTAAAAATTTAATTAAAAGTTAACTAAATAGTGCACGAATACATGGTAGTTGTTTTGCCAGACAATTCAGATAAAATAAAAATCCCTTCTCTACCCTCCCTAATACCAGCCTCTTCTCTTGGTAACTAAAAGTTTGGATGTACTTGACAGACTATTTTCTATGTAGTTAAATAACTGAGTGCTTATAGAAAAGGATAGAGTGTGTGTGAGTAAATAAAAATGTTATACTATTTTGTGTCCTTTAATTTCCTCTGTAATGTATTGTGCAAATCCATCTTTGTCAGTTCTCTTTCCATCTGCTGTATAGTATTCTGAAATATGAATAAACTACAGTTTATCCAATCATTTCCTTAATTTTCAGTTTTTATTATAAGACACAATGTGTATATTTCTTTTTGTGTAGCTGTACAAATAGTTCTCTAAGTTAGGTAATTGCTAGGTTAC